CCCTGGTCCCATATACGCCCTCCCCCTCCCCGGCATGACTGAATGCTGCCCGCGCGTTGCACTCTAAATCACGCCGGACAAGTTCTCACTGTAGTCCAAACTCCCACACTTGGATGACTTCTCTCCCCCCCCCTCGCCATGCGCACCCGCATACTAGACCCCTGTTTCATGTTACTTATCACGTTTTATCGTTCTAAGTCGATCACCGATTGAGCAGTTTGCCTTGTCATATAACTATGCAATGGCCGTGTGCAGCTGAATGAGAGATCTCGAAATTTATGACGTCAGTAAATACTTGCATGCTTTGTCTCCTTTGCCTTATTCAACTTTATCCGGGGAAAACGTTGCTTAAAGCCAATTATGTCGGCGGAAGCAGTGGATTGATTCCAACGAAAAGGCGCGAAGATGAGCTGGTTATGAGGTTGAAAAAAAGTCACCCCGGTAGTTACTCACTATTCACTAGGTCACCACAGCTCTGTCGACCGCTTGAGGGCGGATTTTGTGTCTGCTGCATTCGGTCGCCGACTAAACCATTTGGCCTGTCGATTTGTGAAACACCAGCAAGTCACTGGCGCAGTTAAAGGTCCTTCCCGGCGGTGAGTTATAAATACTCCCTGAGTTTGGTCGCCCGGAAGAACCGTGCTCAGTAAAAATGAGTAGTGTGCATTTTTCGTCGATTTCGATGCTCTTGTGACTTCAAATATATTATATGGAAAATATGGTCAAAATTATCCTTTTTTGACATCACCTCTAGATTTTAGACTCTAAGAATGGGCATTCTTTGTGTTAAAATTTTGTAGATCAAAGATTTTTAAAAGCATGTGGTGTACATTATCATTGTAACTGTCCGTTTATTAATGTTCTTTATGAACCATAAAACATAGACCACATCCATTGCAACATGTTGCTAACCTACTGCGAAATTTCCTTAAAAGCATGGTAAAGTATGTGACTTTCTTTACATAGAAAATATGCAGTCCATAGTTTGGAAACCTTAAATGCAAGTACAATCACTCGATAATTGAAAGAGTTTTTCAAAACTGAAAGATATCCTTCTTCGAGTATGATAATTGGGGGGGGGGGGAGGAGGGGCATGATTTTTTGTCAAGGGACTACAAGGAAAGATATTTTTGACCATATTTTCCACAAAGCAAACTTGGGTTTATGCGTGCTAAGATATATTTTGACTCAACTGCGCAGAACTCGGTGACCTCGATGGATTCGAACCCACAGCGGCAAGGGGAAGGCTTGAGCACGGTCAACGGCCTAGCCAGCCATAAATTAGGTGTGCCTGGTAGTCATGTGGTGGATTCTAGACTAAATACTTAGGAAATCCTGCTTGGCCAGTCAGCTTAGTTAATAGAATTAGAGGATTCCAAAAGGTATGGTAGAGCGGGGGTGGGTAACTTGAGCTCACGGCCCCCGGTGGAGCCTCGGGGCTAGAGCGCTGGCTACACCAAAGCCTTCTCCTTGCTTTCTTGGGTTCGAGTCTCACCCCGAGATCGCCGGGTTTTTCCCAGAACGGTCAGAATGTATTTCACGACCTTCAGGAAAAGGTCACAGTACGTAAGTAGCTATCATTTACAGGCGGCCGAAAGGAAACTCATTCAAAATGCCCGCCTACTAGAATGACTGAAGTATCTTAGGATTATGTTGCACGTTAACCTTACAAGGAATGAGTAGTTGTCCATCTTTTCCCTTTTTTGACTAACAGACGGCTGACTGCTTTGCACATACAGTTATGTACACAATCTCCCTTCTCTCTCAACTCTTCACTTATTGGCGCTTTTCTCGCACGATATGTAACCACTAGGTAGTTCAAAGGCGGTCACCTAAATTTCCCTTAAGAAAACTGATCCGAATCTCGGGTAGGACACAAGAGCAGGAAGGGTATACATTCTCGCGCCCGAATCCTATACTTGGTCCTAACCTTAGCCCTACTCCACCGGGAATTTAGCACAAGCCCCCGATAGTGCGGGAAGGTCCTAATTCCCGTGTCCTACCAAGTCCCTTGTTAACTATCAGCTTTTCAATTCTTTTGGAAATGAGGTGCCGGATTAAAAAACGGTCATCAAAACCTCCCATCCTGAAATCCATCCAGCGCAGCTCATAACTGGCTCGGGCTGTCCGCAATCACGTTGCCATTTTGTGATGCGTTCGAAGGATCCCAACCTCAAGGATAGACAATTCATCTGTTTTTGACTCCCTACAACTGAGCAAGAGATAGATAGAATTCGACAAATACGGGCAACGATTTTCGGGCAACCGCTGCTTATTTTGCGGTCATGGTCCGAAACCGTGAGTAGCAGCCTTATGCCAGTCCGGGGGGGGGGGGGGGGTGGTTAGACTTCGGCGCAGTTGAAGGCATGGGCCAAGATGGCCTCCAAACGATGAAACATCCACAAAACGCATGGTTGGCATACACGCGCCCAACCTATCGCCCCCTTGTTTAAGGCGGTATTACGTCATCGCCGAACATACGACCGAACGCAGGCGGCGGGGGGGGGGGTGAGTCGATCACGACCTGCGATGCCTTATTCGCCTCCAATGCCTGCCGTTATGAGCACATGCGAGCGGCGTCAGGTACGGTGAAACAGATGGCGATGGTGTCCTCAGAGAGTAATTACCAAACCGGCTGCCGGAGAGAGAGGTCGACGCCATGACCATGATGGAGAAGCCGATCCATGGGCCAAATGGCACGGGCTGTGCACTAAATTAGCCAGTTTTTTTTACCCTGCACAGCCCACCCTGCTGTTGGGAGGTGAAATTCTAGTGTTCATCGGAAAGGTCTGGATCGTTGGTTTGCGACCTTAGCGTAACGACACTTCTCAGTGCGCAGTGAATTGACTTGTGTAATTTTTATACAATGAAACTTGCGTCAGTACTAGTAGCATACGAGTATGAATAATGCATTCATTTGGCACAGTCGTGCGATGAAATGCATAAATTTGCGAAAATCCCTCGTAAAAAAAAGTCGGCGACTGATTTCACAAAGTGGGATTTCGGGTAAAAATAATTGCTTAAGCGGGACTAGATTATTGTTTATCATGCTGGGCAGTCTCAGTATACTTAGGACACGCCAGAATGTTGGCATTTAGTTGTACTTTTTCGACCGCCTATAGAGGCCATACTCAGTAAGACTTAACTGCTTATGCACTATGTACTTTTTCGATTGATTTTCGACGCTCTTATACAGTCAAGTATTTTTTTACAAAAAACACACAAAAATATCCTTTCCTGTACTCATTTGGCAGCAAATAGCATCCTCTTCGAATTTTATACTCGCGGAAAGAGTATCTTTCGGTTTCAAAAACTTTCTCAATTCCCGAGTAATTTTGACCCCGACCATTCGAGGTATCCGGACTGCAAACTGTATACTTTGCGTGCAAAGGAAATTATACATTTCTATATGTTGTTGTGAAGAGGACATATACGGCTCATAAAATTTGCAAGGAATGTGGACCAGGATGCCCACTTTAAGAGCAGCATTAGTAAAAATACTGATTCGATGCTGTACAATTTGACCCTTCAGGTCTTAAAAAATCCCAAAAGTAAAACCTTTTTTAAAACCAAAAGATACTCTTTCTTCAATTATAAAACTTGAAGAAGACTATTTTACTACCAAATGAGTAAATGAAAGAATATTTTGTGCATGCTTTCCATAAAATATATTTGAAATTGCAAGGGCATCGGAAATTAATGGGAAAAACTCGTGGTACCTAAGTAGTCATTTTTTTACGGAACATAGTTTACGCAAGCGGTCGAAAAAGAGCCCGTTCGAAAGCCGAAAACTTGACGTGGTTGAAATATCTTAGTATTATGCCATACGATAATTGATATTAAAACCCTCTTTAAAGTACTATTTTCGAGCTGAAAACATATTTTGGAATTTCGGTTAACATTTCATGAGATAGCACATCTACCGTACTCATCATGAAAGGGAAATGATATATTCCTCAATGCCGTTAAGGTGATACCACGTATGATTGACAAAATTGTGCAATGAATGTGGGCTGTGTTGCGCACTTCATAAGGAACATTAATGGACGGACAGATTTAATGCTATTCGAGTGGATGTTTTATGGTCATAGAAGGTCTCATAACGACGGATCCTTCAGTACAAACGATACCCTTTCTCAAAGCCCAAAATTGGATGAAGACGCAATGTGCCGTAAAATGTGTACACGAAAGTAGATTCTGACGATGTCTTCTGAGACAATATATTTGGATTTGCGAGGGCACAGAAACTCGACGAAAAAATGTATGCTACTAAAGTAGTTAATTTTAGAGCAATTTATTTTGGTGGTTGAAAGTAAGTTCATTAAGAGGCAGAAATATCTTGAGATTATGCTTCACGATAATCAATATTGCGACTTTACTTAGGCAATCCCTCCTCAAAGACAAGGCATTCAATAATTTCGGCCTACATTTCATGAGATCGGTCACTGGCTGTACGTCATCCTTCTTCGCATTCTCAATTGGGAGGAAGGAGGATGCAGGATAACCGCTGCTACTTACAACGTTTAATTCTTGGTTCACCCGGCACTCTGCAAAATAATTCCTAGCCGGGGCGATCTCCTGAACAGACCGCAAGAATGGCCAACTGTGTGGCCAGAAGCCGTGCGACAGCCTCAAAGTCCACCTGACAGAAGCCGCTTTAGGTCTCCTTAACTTCTCTTAATAATTAGGCGACCCGGGTGTCACCACAGTTGCGGTGGGCCGAGAAATCAATGAGTAAAAAGGCCCGAATGACGTAAAATGCTCTTCTGTTCTGAGTCTGGAAATGACTTTAAGGTAAATAGTACTATCACCGACCTGATTCTCGGTGTTTGTCAACCTTCAAAATGCTGAATAGGATGGGAAAAGGAGAAGACAGGACACACAATCACAAGGTATCAAACTAACTCGACAGAATAAAAGGATCAAAATGGAATAAGAAGATCGGAGGTAGATAGTACGTTTAAGAGCTGAAAGTACACGAGAATGCTTATCATAGCTTCTTACAGTTCTGGTTCCAGAGTATTATCGGGCTCCAGGACGGTCAAACTTGCCCGACCGTTTCGGCGCCTGACGATGCGTACAACTACCAACAGCGAAATGCCAATAACGAGGAGAACAAGGGCAGTCACCATGACTATCATAGGGAAAACATCAGGACTGTAGATGTGAATGAGATAGCTGGCAAGGTACTGCATACAACTGGCGCCAATGGAGCTACCAAGATTGACAAAAAAGACAATGAAACCGGACACCTCGGCTGCCTCATTGATGACACTCAAGCCGGACGGGAAGAGTGGGCTTTTGAAGAGGCCAAAAAGGACTGTCAACGCGAAGATGTAGGGTCGGTCAGGTGGCGCGAATACCAGGCCTAGAGACATTCCCCAGGTGCCTACCAACTGGAGCAGAAAGAGCCACCTAATCGGCACTAAAAGACTGACTAGGAAGGTGGTCACACGAGCCATACTAAAGGAGATCCAGTAAGAGGTCACGAGAAGGTAGGAGTCTCTCGATGTGAGACGCGCAGGGCCGTAGACTGCCGCCACGAAGGCATACTTGGAGAAGACGCGCTCATTGCCAACCAATGCAAAATACAGTGCAAAAATGGAGGGAATCAACACGAAGGAAGCTCTCTGGGCGAGTATAAAGTCAAAGCTGCGACGTAGGCGAGAGCCGAAGGACGTGGAGAGAGGGGGGTCGTTGAGTGAAACGGCCTCCGCTGCGTCGCCGGCTCCGGTATGACCAGAACTCGAGGGCCGAGTCTGTATGGATGGAGCGGAGTATGAAACACAATTATATACTTTCTACTGAAATCGATTCAGTAAATAGAGTAAATCGTGTACACTTAGGCTTATGAGCATACAGAAGACAACCACCCCCTTGATGTACGAGGAGCTAACAAACTGGCATTCATGCGTAGCAGTTAACAGACTTTGGTCATTCAGTGCTCCAATTTTAACTGCTTGCACTATCTGTCTTGGCATGACAACATGCTGAGTAAAATATCTCACTCAACATGATTCCCAAAGCGCAATGTAACAACGCGATCACAAGTCTTCTTATACCGTGCATTAACGCTAAGATTAGGCAAAATAGAATCCTAGTTTGCAATTACTTGTCCGCACAATTATAAACACACACTATAGCAATAATGAATCGTAACAATCCAGTAGTAAAAAAATAAGGGAACTAGGAATTCATAGTATCATTTTGTAGGTGAAGACATGTTGAAGGACTTGGTCGAGCGACTCTGCCAAAGTCCAGTAGGAGATTTGTCCAGTACACGTCCCAGTTAACGCATACAATATCCAAGCGCCTAGGTAATGCCACTATCCTACTTTTCCATTGCATTTGAGAGGGCCGCCCGATGTATTGCTGCCAACGAAGCGATTCTGATACTTCTGAAGCATTTAACAGACCTGTCATATGCGAAAATACGTGCGTCATGGCTACTGAGTGCATCTGAGTAGACATTTATTGTTAAATAATATGTTAACTGACCACAGGAGTTGGGCGTTCACAGCGCTGAGTGCAGTGAAGAACGGCGAAGAAGAGACCTGAGAGGAGACACATTCCAGCAATGATGCTGCAAGGTGGTAGCATAAGCACCAGATCACTTTTACCGGCGGTGACGTTGGAGTTCGAAGCACCGGAAATGGAGTTGGGGACGGTGAAATTCGCGTCGAAAGTGAACGGTGCCAGGATGAGTGGTGCCAAGGCGGCTCCCACGCCGTAACCGGAATGCATAAAGTTAAAGGGTCCGGCGGCACGATCGCCCCAGACGGCTCCGAGCAGTGGATTCCCATCTGAGGAAAACAAACAGTGATACTTAATAACTGATGCCTGCGGGGTCGGGACCGTCAGTGACGCGAACTACTCAATGGGATATGTACCCGATGCGAGGCCATGCATTGCAAACTTTTGTAAGGAATTTCTGCAAAAGTGAGGCATCTCGTATTAACTGGCGTATCGAAGACGCGGTGGATGGAAAAAACTAACATAATCCAAGTAATAAGGTGATTTTACAATTTCAATAATTCAAGCATACAGTAACAGTTCACAGAACACAAAGTTGACACTGAACCATGTAACAACCAAACAGACGATTGAATGAACATTGATGTGACACTTTACACTCCTCGTTTCGAGAATTGAACCAGAAGTTCAATAGTAATTCGCGACAAAACATCAACCACCATCTGCAAAAATTGAATAACCCCACATTCACATGGGAAACACATTGGTGGGGCAAGCTGTCGAAGTCGCATCATGTGGCTGTAGGAAATCGATAAAACAAATTTGTGGCTTTCAGTTGATACCCGTTTTCGGAGAATGGTGGGGAAAAGGTCTATCTACTTAAGTATTTCGGGTTAGAAATTGACAGTGCATTAAAAAGTTGCATAAAATGCGAGCCCTCACTCAGACTTCTGATAGAATACGTACAAGCACTTTTATTGAAGACAAAAGCTTCCAGAAAGAAGCGGTTGTTTCCTCAGCCCAGGACTTTGGAGGCAGCGTAATTGCTTGATAAAGCGGACTGACTACTACTTTACGCATTCAGATTGTACACCCACAGGAAAGGATTGGCTATCCTGATGGCAATCTCCTACAAGATTCCATGCGATGCCTGCGATGAAGTATATTGTGGACAATCGGGAAAATCCACCTTTAAACGCATCCACGAGCATCAACTGGTAGTTATGATGCGAGACCATCTGTGGCCATGCATACCCTAGATACCGAACACACACCTTCGCCTGAGACAAAATTCGTATCGTCGACGTCTGCCATTCCAAAAAAGGCCGATTCCTCGAATTCATGAGCTCAGATAAAAAGTGCATTAGTCAGCACATAGAGTTAGCTGCCGTGTGCGAAAATCTGAGGGAAAAGTAGAAAGGATGAGAACTAATCAATGTAAAATGACGCAAACAGGGGCCGCTTTCTGGCACAAACGCCGAACAAATATCGATTTTTGTGCATGTTTGAAATTCCAACTGTTTATTTGTAAATTTACTCAACGTCCGACAAAGATCTGGGGAATCGGCGTCGAAAATGTATCCAATAAAATTTCCTAATTTTGCGGTAATTATTAAAACAAGTAAAGGAGTCTTTAGTTGACTTGAACAGATCTTCATGATTGTGCACACGATTAGAGTGACCACTTTGCCTCTAGGACTTCCTGATATAATATCTTTAAATGGTCTGCACATAATAATCGTCGAACTGGTTTTCCATCCTAAGCAATTTAATTATAAAGTGGTCAAATTGTTTTGGGGAAAAATACGACCGCGAAGACTTGTGAACTAGAGAACTGCTAAAAATAGTTTGGAACGGGCACTTTCTCCAAAAGGTTGACCCCCAGTTGACCCCAGTTTCGCTCGGAGACCAATCCTAAAGAGGCTGCTAGTCGACAACGAGGCGGCAGTGGGAGACGGTCCATAGCTAACGAATATCATTGCTCAACATCTTCAGAATCTATGTAGTGCTACGGTAAGGTATTTAAATGATTCTGAAAGTCCACCCCTTGGGCTGGACGCGCGCATTCCTTGTTCATCTTCGGCCGGCTTAACTAAACAAAGCTCGACACGACCGACACTCTAGAGATATCGACAGTAACACATGTTCTGACTGTAAAAAAGGGCACGTAGCCGAGCAAACAGGCTATCCGCCAGTGTACTATACGACGGCGCACTTCGCCGCCACGCAAGGTGTCCGACGCGTGCGCGGCCTAGACCACATGGGAAGATGACGCGTGTAGGGTCTAGATACGAAGCAAGCGCTGTGTACTTTTGCTTCAATGGGCAAACAAAAGTGCCGCGTACGTCGAGTAATCGCAATATGTTCACGACTCGCGTGCCCCAGATGTCCATTCATTAATCTCGAATGGCGTGGATGGCACGGAGCCCTCATCTCCACTCCGCTCTATGGGCTCGAAAACGAGCTTGACGGCTGTATAGAAAGGGTTCACATAATTCCTGTGGGGATATAAGGCATAATCCCTCCAGCCGGAGTGTCCCACGTGGCAAACTCTCTCAATGGCCCCATAAACCTTAACTTCATAACCACCATGAAAGATTGACACAGCGGCCGGCAATGACGTGGAGATATCGAGGAACAGATGAGATTCGCAGTTGAATAATGAGATCCGACAGACTTAATGATGCCTGCATACAGTGGCCTTTTAGGGATGCGTTACAGACGTTTCTCGCATAGTAATTAGACTTCTCACAAAAGTCCATCCGACGCTGTCCTCATTTGGCATGCAGCATACCGTTTAAATCCCATAGAGATACTACGATGTTAAACGGTACGCCAGACCCCTGTATCTTTTTCTTCTAGTAGTTCTGTTTAGAAATTTCGAAAAAGTGCAATAGTCTACCGGCGTCTCGGGCTTGTCTGTCTTGTTTTCTTTTATTGGACTCAATCTGGCCACATCTCTTTACCCTTCGAGAACTGACTGAAACCTAGAATAAGATGACCTATCTCATGAAATGTTAATCGGAATTCTGAAGTGTCTTTCCCATAAGAAAGGATTACTTTGGTGGCATCGGAATATTGATTACCGTGCAGCATGACCCACACATATTTCAGTCAAGCCAGAATGCCGGCTTTTGAACGAGTTCCATTCACTTTGTCAGCAAAAACCCCACACGGCAAAAAGGACTACCTAAATGCCATGAATTTCCCCGCTGATTTTCGATGTCCATATCAATTAAAATATATTTTGAACAAAATATGCATAAAAATATGCCTTCTTGTACTCATTTAATAGAACATTGTGTTTTTTTTCAGATTTGGACTTTGGAGAATGGATATCTTTCGGTTTTTTAAAGTTTTAAGCTGAAATTTTTTGAGGCCGTGAAATGTCCAATTGTACAGCATCGCATCCGCCCGTCTGGTAGTGTCGCATATGGGGCATACAATATAGTTCACATCTGTCACAGAATTTCAGGCGCACTATATGGTATCAAAATAGTGTAGAAATATGCGATTTCCTTTGCACGTAAAGCAAACAGCAGGGTGTTCTGAAACCCTAAGCGTAAGTGCAACGGCTGGCTGGGTTCAAAGTTATTCGGAAAGTAAAAACTTTTAAGACCGCAAGGCACCCTTTCCCCGAACAATATGTTTGAAGCAGGTGTAAGTTTTCATCAAGTGAACACAAGAAAGAATACTTTCCGAATGGGTCCTATAAAATAAGTTGAAGTTTATAAGGAGACCGAAAATCATGCAGTTTAAGTAGTCACCTTCATTGCGTGCAGTTTTTGTAAACGTCCGAAGAGAGGCTCACTCAAAAGTCGGCATCCTGGCTTGACTGATTATGTTGCACGATAATCGGTATTTCAACCTCTTGAAGACGCATTTTAGAATTTCCATTGACATTACATGAGATAGGCCAGCTACTGTGAGTCTTCAAGTAAGCAAGTGTACATAAGTGAGGTTGTGATGGTACCACGTACGGAGTACAATGTTTCACGAATTTTGAGTACCATGGTGTTATCTCCGTCAAGTGGGCAGTTCTTGTGCGCACACTCGATGACGTCATCGGTAAAAAAACACATTTTGGTTGGTTTATGATGGAAGTGCAGCAGACAATAGCTGACTTATGAAGAATTGGGTCAGATGTGGTTATGTAGCCCTACCTGAAGTAAACAAACCCCAGGCACCTGTAATACGGGACCGGTGGTAATAGGGGTTTTTATAGGTGGAACCGGGGAACGGACAGGCGAGGAGGTCAAGTAGTTGGATGCAAGAGAAAAGCTGTCGGGGATGCACGGCTGTAATTTGAGTGGTTGAGAATAGCTGCCATAACCCCTAAGCCTAACCCAAACCCCAACAGCATTGTGTCCACGAGGTGGGGCTACATAACCACATCTTGCCAAGAATTGGAAAAAAAGGTGCACTGTTGATAAACGATCTACACCAATAGTAAAAAACTCGGCGGCTTCGGTGGGATTTGTAGCAGCCGCTACAGTCCCCCTTTTTTCGTCAGCTGCGTTTTGTCGAAAGATGGCCGCGACAACTGTTGACACACGGCCACCCCCGCCGGCTAACACTCAGACACCTCCGGTCCAACTTCAGGGACTCTCGCCTGACCTTACAAGCTTTCATCACCTCACACGCGTCGAACGCTCTGGCTTGATACCCATGAGGCCTTGTGAGCATGCGCCCTCCATTCCTCCCCTAATTTGTCCAATCACAGGACCGACACTCAGCCAGTCACCCCTCCTCCTGCTGACCCAGACACTCACTCTCGCGTAAACAAAGCACGGCGACTCACACTCTCCGTGAACGGACGCTTATCTCTATCGCAAGCAAACAGCCAACTTACGGCAACCTGCCCTGTGTACAGAGTAAACTAGTCCTCACAGCGCCCTGACTCCTGACATTTGACGAAACGAACTTATGGTGCGTGATTTAAGTTGATCTCACATCCTTGATTACCACAGATTCGAACCCACGACGGCAAGGTCAGAGCTAAAGTGCAGCCAACGCACTAACCGCCTAAATTAAAAGGCCCCACTAGGAGCTGCGATTTCAATCACGTTACTCGCCCAGCCTACTGTAACGTATGGGATCTTCTAATTCTGATACAGTAAGCTGACTACCCAAACAATCCATCTAGAATCCAGGAGGCTCACCCAATAAACTTGTGAGTTTGACAGACTTGAATTATTCATGTAACGCAAATGCAATCAAACTCACGGTTACCGATGGCGCCTCATAGCTCAGGTGGTTAGAGCGTTGGGGGATTGCACCTGCTGTCATGGCTTCAAATCCTCACTGAGACAACAGAATTTTTCGCGATTGGGTCAAATGTACTGCCTATCTCTGTCCGGACAACAATTGCGGCTGCCACGGAGATAGCCCGACGCTGAGCTTACTCGGTGAGGAAGAACAAGAATCACCAGACCGACCACCCGACAAAGGTTCAATCAGCTCCCCCCCCCCGACGAAGTGGTGACTCACAAAGCAAGCAGACAAAACGCCCGCTAACCACCCCCCGAGAGGCCGAGGCAGCGAGAGGAGAGAAAAATCGATCAGCACGAGGCCGACCAACGTGACACGCCACTTGGGATTTCTGGTCGATCAAGTGCAGTTTACGCTTTGACAATGAAGAGCCGACCCAGCTCTTTGAAACGTCAGCAGTTAAATAAACCTGTTCCGGAGAGCCTATTTTCTTCTGCCACACACTTAGCCTGGTTAATGAACGAAAGGTGGACATACTGAATTCTTCACCTACCTCATTACGGTAGACACAATCTGAACAATTGCACCCCTATACGGCCAGTATTTCCTTAGCCCGTTTAGCTCGCCAACATATTGAAATATCTCAGCGGCATTCTTGGACAGCAGTTTTCGTGGGCTACTTAGATTGTTGTCTCGGATGAAGTGGGGAGTGAAACTGTCAAAAGGAAGTAAGAGGTGCGCAACAAAACTGCTGGAGGCTGAAATTCGAGGTTATGTTAGGACTGCACTGCAGAGGAATTGCGGCGCGAAAATACGTTTGCGTAGGATCCATGTAAATGAATGACATTTCACAGAACTGAGAAATCAGGAGCAGTAATAAAAACAGGCAGTTGAGGGCGTTTGATATAAAAACAGAAGGAGTTTGTTGAAGGAAGCAGGTCATAGGATTTTTAAAGATACTTAACATACAATCAGCCGTAGGTTTTCGAAATGCAAAGGGGAGTCGTCACATTAGCAAAACTGGTAGGAGAGTATTCACTGATCGTGCTACGGAACTCACTCGTCCCATTTAGCCTTAGGACTCTTGATAACAATCGGGAGATGGCACCCAAAAAATCCGCCTAACCAAAGCAGCCTGTCTTACGGGACAGGTGATAAAAGGGGTTTTATGGGCGGTGGCTGGTCGGGATGTACGATACAAGCCGACGGAAGGCCTTATTTGAACAGGTGAATGAACGATGTTGGTCCGCTCTCCGTTCCGTTATTACAAAATGGGTCGCCAAAGGCAGTATAGTGGTAACGGACGAGTGGAAGGCGTATAATCGTCTTCCCACTCAAAGAACTTCAAGGAACCTACCACCGGACGGCACACCAATGCCATTGAGGCATACTGGAGTAGACTGAAAAGGAAACTCCACGAGGGAGGCCCAGTATGTGGTCGAGCTGTGCGGGTCCACAGAGACGAAGTACAGTGTCGTCTTTGGTTTGGCCTCAATGCCATGTTTTTGACAGACGCCTGGGAACTGTTCCCGTCCCATGTTGTGCAGACTTATCCTATTTAAAAGTGATTTTGTTTTGTAATAAAGTTCCATAATGCGAATGCATGCCGTATATTCAGGTGTATGTGTGTAACGATGGGGTAGGTTGGGTAATAGCGACCATCGTCCATGTAACCTCCTGCGATGTTCGTTCGGCCAGCCCATGTTAGGCCGTCGCGGAAAGTCCAATTAGTGCGTGAAAGTAGGCCTGCAACCGCTGATATAGCCTGAAGGCGTTTGAGTCCACTGTTAAAGGTATTATTTCTAGGTAACGGATTTCTTGGGTGCCATCTCCCGATTGTTATCGGACTCCTTTTTTGAGCCCCGTCAGCAGCCGCACAGCGGCGAGTGATATAGACAGAATAGCATTACCTTATCTTTGTCGGTAATGCTATTCTGCCTATTAGCAAAATTTCTAACCGCATTCATTGCATGCATCCCAAACACTTCTGGGGTAACAATTACTGAAAACGAAGCGTTCGTGTAAATTTCGACATAAATCAAGCAAAAACTCACAGGAAAGCTGTTCTGGTTTACTGGATAGTACAGCTTATCATTTCGTTTTGAAATGTGGTAATTGAAAACATGGATTTGTTTCACCAGACAGGGCAATTTCAGTGAATACGCGAACTCGGTTAGAATGGCGTGATAGCTGCGATTTCCATGTTTTTAAATATACGTGCGTGCTCCCTCAGCATAAAAAACAATTCCCAATATCACCGTGGTATGTCGGCTTCCAGTCAAAATCACGATTGTTTTAACGAAAACCATTCTTCTTGCACATAATGGATCTCGGGGAGACTCATGTTTCCATAAATGACTTCAGAAAAGTATATTATTGTCGGCAATCTCTTGGCAAACCGATTAAATCCGTACAAGTGACGGAAATGTGCGGAAAAACGCCAATCACTGTGGAAGTAAATTATAGGATCGAGATTGGTACAGGTGGGTGACGGGATGCCTGACCAAAGGTCGACATGTCCCGGTGCACAAACTGTCGGAAACCTATCGCTACAACTTTTATACACTAGAAAAGGTCAACCAGAAACAATGTAAAAGTACTTGGGTTGGGCCATGTTGCGGTGCAATGCAGAAAGTTTTGTCAGAAGCAAGTCGTGGAAATTTTTTATTGCGCCACGTTGAATCTGCAGGAGAAAGCACAGTGTGTTGAGTTGCTTGTTAAAATGAAATCTAATATACAGTGAGCGTTTAAAACTCACTACGCCAGATCACCCCCATCTAGACCAACCATACGGAGTTTGGCAAAAAAAGTTCATGAAAACGAAGCAGGGGGCCAAGAGGTCTCAAACGTCTGGAGAAAATGTCGAGCATAGTCACGGCGCCTTTGAACAGCATGCACAGGCCGAGAAAATCCCGGCCGTCGCGGCTGGTGACGTCTGCCGAGTCCCACACGGACCAGGCGCAGCATCGATAACTTTCGCGCGAATTAGTTTACAGTGAGGTGGATTCTGCGCAAATCCACCGCACTCTCCTCTCACTCACCACCCTAACTCCGCTGGCAGGACAGTGCCAAGATAACTGGAGGTGATCGCGGACACAGTGGTTGGCAAATTCGACCTGCTTCTACGCGTCCCACACGCGACCTGGCTCCCACGACGTAGACCGGGCCACCGCTGGACAGCTCGATCCCACTTCAGACGGGTCACATGCTTAGATTAACTGCAACAAGTTTGTTACGGTTGCCAGATTCGGAAGTGCGTCCGTGACAACTATCTTTTGACAACAATGAATGCAGTCTAATGAGGCGACTTTTTATGCCTCGGGCAAGATCAACGAACAGTGAACAGTGTTGAGTGAAATCACTAAGCGCTAATGCAACGAATGATCAGGCTCAAAATTATTCGGCAATTAGAAAACTTTTTAAAACCTAATTATACTCCTTCCTTAATTATAAAATATAAATAAGACGTGATTCTCTATTGATTGACTAGAAGAAGACATATTTTTGTTTGCGGTTTCTATAAAATGTGTTTGAATTTGCAAGACCTTCGAAAATCTATGGGAAAAATGCATGCTGCTTAAGTAGTCATTTTTACCAAGTACGCTTTCTACAGGAGATTGAAAGGAAGTGCATTTAAAAGCCGACATCCTGCCGAGTCCGAAATGTTATAAGAGTATGCCTTAAGATAATCAGTATTACAACCGCGACCAAGTAATCCGTCCTAATCGAAAACGCATTTCAGAATTTCAGCCAACTTTTCATGAGATCGGTCACTCAATGTACATAAGTAAATGCAGAGAAATGACTTTTTATGAGCGGGCACTTCACGGTATCAAAAAATCTCACAATTAGAAACTTTTTAAAACCAAATTATACCCTTCCTTCGAGTATGCAATCGGAAGAAGACGCAACTTTCTACCACATGAATAAAAGACTGAATCTTTTTATGCATTCCTTTCCATGTTTAGGGGCATCGAAAATCAATGTGGAAAATACATGTTCCTCAAGTAGGCATTTTTTGCAGAGTATAGTTTGTGCATGCAGCCGGAAAGAAGTTTATTCGAAAGTAGGTATACTGGGGTAACTGAAATATTGTAGAGTTACGCTGCATGATAATTCGTTTTAAGACCTTAATTAATTATTTTTTTCGAAACGAAAACGCATGTCGGAATTGCGGTTGACATTTCATGTGTTAGCCCATCTACTGTACAACGCAATGCAGAAAATTTAGTCAGAAGCAGGTCGTGCGAATTTCTGTTAGACTCTACCACAGTAAATTCCTGGGAGAAAGCACAGTGTACTGAGTTGCTTGTTAAAAAGAAATCTAATATACGGGCCTAGTGAGCGTTTAAAACTCGCTACGCCAGATCACCCCCATCTAGACCAACCATACGGAGTTTGGCAAAAAAAGTTCATGAAAACGAAGCAGGGGGCCAAGAGGTCTCAAACGTCTGGAGAAAATGTCGAGCATAGTCACGGCGCCTTTGAACAGCATGCACAGGCCGAGAAAATCCCGGCCGTCGCGGCTGGTGACGTCTGCCGAGTCCCACACGGACCAGGCGCAGCATCGATAACTTTCGCGCGAATTAGTTTACAGTGAGGTGGATTCTGCGCAAATCCACCGCACTCTCCTCTCACTCACCACCCTAACTCCGCTGGCAGGACAGTGCCAAGATAACTGGAGGTGATCGCGGACACAGTGGTTGGCAAATTCGACCTGCTTCTACGCGTCCCACACGCGACCTGGCTCCCACGACGTATACCGGGCCACCGCTGGACAGCTCGATCCCACTTCAGACGGGTCACATGCTTAGATTAACTGCAACAAGTTTGTTACGGTTGCCAGATTCGGAAGTGCGTCCGTGACAACTATCTTTTGACAATAATAAGTACAGTCTAAGGAGGCGACTTTTCACGCCTCAGGCAAGATCAACGAACAGTGTGTTAGGACGGTCCCGAACTCAAGGCACCACTTTCGTTTTGCGGCTTTCATGCGCGACGGGAACCACCACGACGTAGGTCGGTCTAGAATACCAAGCTCGTGCGTAAGTCAGCAATTAGAACGCCGCGCTTAGAGGTCAACCACTGGACAGAAGCGTGAAAAAGTTAAAGTACACAGCAGTGACTGTTACGCTAAAATACCCACTGTAATTCAACCATCGTCGCCGACGAAGTCTACCGCGTGCTCCACGGCAGGGTGAGAGCAGGGACGGTGACTTGCACGTGAATTCGTTTGTAGTGATAGTAGACTTGCGCAACACCTACCGCAGTTTCTTCTCCTTCCTACCTGAGCACGGTGTCATGATAGAGTCTATTCATTAAACCTATCCGAATCGTCTGGGGCCCCATAAATACCGAGGGCAATGGATGTCCGGGCACCTTGAACCGGCAAACGCCCCCCGGACGCCATCGCCACTCTCTCGGACTCCTCGCCTCTCCATCTCCCCGGCAGATTAATGCTCATCCACAGCCTGACTCGTCCCGAGTAAAGGACCTCGCAATGTTCTTTCCCGCCTGAACGTCGTCCAAATTCCTATAATTCCGCCATCTATAAACATTTCCCAATCTCCCCTTAGGAAGACGCCTTCCTTCTTTATTTGGGGTCTGTCGGTACCATTAAGAAGGGAATTAGCGTACACTGAGGCCGGTTACAGTATGAAATTAAATACGACTTCGTGGACAAAAAATGAAAAAGTTAATGTACACACCAGTGGATGCTGCGGTAAAGTTGTCCTCTGCCGTCCACACAGGAGGAATGGGTCAGAAAACCCTCAGTGAACGGCAGAGCAACAAAAGCATGGACCACAACCGCTGTTGAAAGCATTGGCATGCATATGATACAGCGTACATATGAAGAGAACCCCGAATGCACTGCAAAACACCAGTAGTTTTCCTACGGACTGTTTTTCAACGAGGAGGGGGGGGGAGTTTCAATATCCAGTGCTCCTTTAGTTGTAAAACAATGTGTGCAAATAAACACTCCATTTGGCATCAATGTGGGGTATATGCCATTTGAATGCCACCCCCTGTGCTCTATGTTTGTCAACAATGTGACCCTGACCGTTTGAGGGCGTTGCTAAGTTCGTCAATTGCTCGATCCGGAGAAAGACTGAACTACCTAATCAGGAAGAGGGTTTAACGATTATGCACGCATCCACCCAGCTTGTCACCAGAGTGCTCGACACGGAATCAGTGGATGAGGCCTGTTTGGCAGTACTTACCTTATCATCATCCAGTAGGGGCTCGTTTCTCTTATTTTGCTCCGACTAAAGGCATGATTCAAGCCACGAGTTTTCCAGCATAGTTCCTTTGCCTAGATATCCGCAGGTTTCTCAAATTAGCTTACAAAGAACATCAATTGTCCCGAATATGCTCATAACAACATGGAGAGAATTGCGCAATTTATCAAAGAGAGTACTTTGAATCTAAATCGAATACAAATGCACCTGTAAGTTGGTGAGCACATTTTGATACAGGCTTACTGTATGTTCTCATACAAAAATTCTCGAAAGAAGGCAGGGAACGCAGATGTGTACCT